AAATGGACACGTTTGGTATTTAAGATGACGTTACGTATTTTCGATTCCCGTGTTTGACACAGACCAATGTAATGCTATCTCTTTTGGCTTAAGATGGAACTCAATAATTAAACAAAAACAATAATATGTTTATGTTTTCAACGTCGAAATGCATCATACACGTACAACGTATCATTAATAAACAATTAAATTGGAAATCTCACATCTAAAACGTTTGTGAAAGAATCAACAAATTTGCCTTCGCCTTGAAATGTTTGCGTAATATAATAAATATGTCAACCATCTTAACAGTTTATCACGCATATGTAGTCTCGACCCTACGTTATGGACTTCTTATCTGGGGAAATGGTACGAATATAAACAGAGTGTTATTAGCACAAAAAAAAATGTATACGTGCAATTACAGGCAGGACTCCGCTTGAATCCTGTAAACCTATATTTAAAGATCTTGGTTTATTACCCCTGCCTGCCTTATATATTTATGAAGCCAGCATTTTTGTGAAAAATAATTTACATTTGTTTATTAAGAGTGTTGACGTGAACCATCGAAAGTATAGAAATCCCAATAGACTATTTTATTTTGACGTACCTAAGGTAGAAAAATATAAAAAATATAAAATTGTTTGTGTATGTGTGTCAGAATTTACAATAGATTACCAAATGACATTAAACACTTGCCCATTACATTATTTAAGACTAAATTATATGAATTGTTAAAGAATAAAGTATATTACAGTATTAGGGAATTTCTACAATAATTTTTACGTAAAAGAATTTAAATTAATCATATATAACTTAATGTAAATGTAACCTTGTGACGACCTATTTGTCATTTATTTTGCATGCCTAAATTATCTTCGGGCGAAACATGCTTGAACTTATATATTACTGTGTTATCATGACCACCATGTTTTATGCAAATAAACGATTTGATTTGAAAACGTCTGATTTATATACGAGTATGTCAACATAACATGTCCTTTAGTTTCCATAGTCAAAGCCTGAGACCCTTACCCTTCAAAACCGGTACACAGTAATGCTGATAAAAGTGCTTGGCGGCAGAAATAGATAAGGTGGCAGTACTTGCCTGGATGAACTCTTGCACGATTAGTTCAATTGCTACTAAAATTAAAAAGTATTGCTTTTATTTACGACAGAACCCGTTTTAAGGTTAGCATTTTCATTTAGCTCTTTACATTGGATCACACTTAATTGTTCACAATCTCACCTAAAAAGTGAAGAGAATTTTGAAGATATAGGCATTATGATAAAGACCCGAATGGTATACCCACTTTCGTCTATAAGATGCTTGTTCATACTGACTTCACATATTCAAGAAAAACAGAACCCGGCAAAGAATACCACTCCTTAGCAGTTAGTATAATGATCGTTTAAGTAAAATGCTTCGTGCGAATTACAGTGAAAATTGCCGCATCTGGTTGAAAATGGTAGACGGGATTAAATCATGTAGTACATGCGACATGCGCCCCGATTTGTATGCTCAATCCCGATTTGTACAAAATGAGGTTTTTCGCTTTAGTCCATAGCATCCAAATGATAGCGAGCAACAAAGGGAATAACAGTACTCCATACAAAAGCTTGAGAGACTGTTGTTATGTCTCTGTTTAAGAAGTCTTAATTTAGGAAAGATGAAAAGGGTCTTGGTTGCAGTTTTGGTAATAGACTCACTGAGGTGGCAGAAATTCAGTATCGCAGTAAGGGCACAAATCGTGGGGAGAAAGGTACAGATACATTTCGGAAAGTCGGGTTTGATGAGTGTGGGGAGATATCATATTGTGAAAATTACACACCTGCGTTTTCGCGGCATTAAGAATCCGATCAGTTTTTGTTACATTATATTTTTACAATTATAGTTGAGTCAAACACCCATGGAAGATGCTAACATCCGGCAATACCTTTTTTTCATAGATATGAAATATGCATAGAAAGGGGATTTGGTTATCTATCGCATTGCATTGCCATGCTCCTGCCGCATTGTTTGGCAGTATTATCTACCTCCTGCTTAGTATACTTAACTAAATACCCAACGTGTTACATAAAGTTAATAACTACAAAATGCTGTTGCGTTTCCGTGTTATAAGAAGATAAACCATACCAAACAATACTGTGTTTACCGACGTACGAAGACAAACAAAGATGTATGTTTGCCGAGGTACGTTTTTAAATATTTAAATATTTTGGCATATTTTTAAAACTTCTGTGTAGAGCCAGAAATCCGGAACAGTCAGTATAAATAAGAAAACCGACGATTATAACAGTAGTAGGTATTATGTAATATTACTAGATGTTTTAAAAGAAGCACAAATCGTCAATACTCTTTCGGACGTGTCCTATTATAATAAATACTTAAAACAGCGCAGAGATGATCTGTGATCGCATTAAAATGCTACGTGATGACTTGTTGCAGTGTCACTGCTTGCGCGGTTGCGGGGTCTGTAATAACCTACCCGGCAATTACCGCATCGCGTACTTCAAAGTTTATTTATTGTATCCAGGCTCGCTGGCGTCAGACCGAAATTGGAAAGTCTTACATATTTAACTTTTCAATAGATAATGCCAGTTTTTATTACTGTCCTATTACGGCATATAATATGTCCTATTATTAATATTACGGCAGATTTTGCTAGTTGGAACAGAATTTAATAACATGTACTTACTTCGATTACCTCCTTATCTAATATTGCTTAGGAAAATTGTGTTAATTATTCAATCATAGATGTTTTTTACTACTTTTTTTTTATATATGTGATATAAAAAAAGTTGCGAAAACGTTTAAAAACCGACATGATAAAAAACAATGCTCTTAACAAAACAGACGAGATCTGCGGGCAGCCACATCAAGTTTCGCAGTCGCCTTCGGCTGTCCATATAAAACGTTCTGAGGTCATAAATTATTATTTAGCCACATAGTCTGCAAAGCCTACATGCAAATAATTAAAAAAAAATTATTATATAAAAAGGGCTACAATGGAAGCGTCCGGGTGGCGGTGGTGGGGTGCGGGGTGGTGCAATAACGGCAGCCCGCGGCCTCTCAGCGCGCTCGCCGCCTTGGGCGTCGAGCGAAGCCCGGCCTCCGCCCAACGTTATTAAAGGAACACCTAGCACTGCTTTTGACGCCTGGGGCAATATTACCCGAGGCGCTCATCTACAGAACAATCATTTTGAAAATTATTCGGAGTCAGCCTGAGGCGTCTGCCTGACTCGGCCAACGAAGCCGCAGTCGCTGCACGCGGCTTTGGTCGCCGATAATCATACTATTTCTACCACAGAATACAGTACGTACGACGTCATAATACTGTATACGAGAATACGAGTTCAATAGAATTTATGGATTTCCATAATACTGGAGAATTGAAAATACCATTTTGTATGAAAACCTGGACTGGACGGACTTGTGTTACACAAAGGCGAAAACACATCTAAGACGTCGCAGTGCTGTTGATTATAAATCATGGCATTATTATCTATATCGTCATTAACCGAAAGCCGTCCACTACTGAACATAGACCTCCCTTTTAGTTGAACACTCAGATTTAAACCAGAGATTTGTCACGGTATTAGTCGTCCGTATGTGTAACTACCAGTTGGAGCTTTTATTGTTTCTCAGCAAATAATATCCACTCCCAGCTCTCATATTGAAATGCTCTAGTTTCACCGTAAACGACACAATATTAGATACGTACCTAATAATAAAAACTCGAAGTCTGATTAGGTAGTATTAGATAGAAAGTACCTACCTATGGATGTTTATTGGAAAATATATTGTCATCACATGACATTTGAGATACGGGGTGAATTTTGAAATAGAATGAGTTTTCGAGGCCCACACGAGCAGCACTTACCTATCACCAAAGTTTCTATTCAAATGCCGATCTGATTGCAATAAAATAGCTATAATGCCTACTTCGAAAATCCCCTGTACATTAATATGTGGCACTTCTTTATAATGCAATATACAGGATTATTTCTAAAATGCTAACCCGCAGGATTACTAATATCATTAACAACTTTTGTCCCATGATTTTTTATAAAATGTAATAATTTTACCAAAATATAAAGTTTTTCAAGTTTTTGTTGTACTATATGACACTTTCGATTTGTATTTGGTAGTAATGACGATCCCCACTCGTGCGTTTTGCAACGGATTGGTATTTATGCTAGCGCTTTTCTTTTTATCATCGTTTAGAGCGTTTATATTTGTACGAAAGCAAAATTAGATAAATTGGTGCCTGAATTACCCACCCGTCTGTGCTGGTTATTTCGTCGTCTACAGAAAGTTGACAGAAAACGTCGTGTATAGAAAAGGTAGAATGATCATAAATAAAAAAAAAAATAGCGCGCTCAAATGAGCAGAATTTTGAAAAAAGAACTACAAGAAAATCGGCTAGATTTCCGTCTCGACATTTCGCCTAGATAAAGAACTTAATATTATGTAAAGTAGTAGTATGTTTTTTTATGTTTTACTTTTTACCATTATTTGTTTATTATTATTTACCTACTATTTTTATTTATTATGTTTTACTTTTATTTTTTTTCCTGTAAACATCTACTGTGTAATTTTTTACTTCTTTGTATTTTGGACTGTATAACTACCACTAATCAAAAATTGCAATACGAATTTGTGATTATTCGATATCCATCACACCTTTCACTTGATTCATATACGTATTGTACGTAAGAAGCATGTTTTTAAAATGTCACTAGGCACTCCCAACGTTTCATTAAAATAAATTTTCATTGCAAAGAAAGTTACAAGACATAATTATTCCTTTATCTATAATTCACTGTTGTTTTTGCTTCTTTATGGGCGTAATAGAAATCATAAAAAAGAATATAATACCTCCAAAAAATTCGTGTTTACCCCAGTATGCTAAATAAAAGTGCTATTGTACTGTACCAAATAAGGGGTACTTTAATAGTCTAATGCTTTATTTGAAGAAAAAACAGTAATTATAGTAGTATTTACAATTAAAACTTACCGTACAAAGTGTACTGCGGTGACAATTTGAATTGTTCCGCGATTACAATCCGCAACGAGACTGGCACGACGAAATCTTTTCAAACACACTGATCAGACTCGCTCTCGCGGGAACTCTGCTTCTGCCGGTTTTTAGTGCTTTGACAGTTCCGTCCGTTTGCCGGTTGGGGTTGCTAATTGGAATTTTTTTTATATGTTAGCCGACATGTCGTCCGATTTTTTGACGCAAAATATCGGCGTGTTGGGTAACGTCAGCATTAATTGCGAACATGTTGAATAATATATGGGCAACAAGTACTCTAATGAATGTGGGTCTTTGCTACATGACGTAGCGTGCCCAGGGAATGAACAGTCAAATAATTATTTTAGTATTGTTAATTCGACTTTATTAATTTTATTTAAAAGAAAATGCATCTAGATTTCAATTCGTAATGTTTTTGTACATTAAGTCTTATTAAATATTTATCTGATAATAATAATAAAAGCATTTAGTATCATTTGTAGTTTGTTATGTAGCTTACCATTAGGGACATAACCACAGCTCGCCTAGTTCATATAGAAAACAACAATTGAAATATGATAAGCCTATGTAATTTAACACAACGAATATTGATAAAAATATTTGCCGTTGTTGTCTATATTAATTATAACTTTGTAATGAATACTTTAGCGGATTTTTTTCTTTAGCGGTTTGTATGTTCACAAGTCAACTAAACTATATTGTTATTATAAAATGGCCAATGTGTTCCGTAGCGTGCGTAACGTATATGGCGCTTAATTTGGTGCTGGTAACACTAAATATGAAAGTCGACACCTGGCGAACACTGTACGAACTTTGGAATGAAGTATCTCGCGCGATTACAATAAAGTTGAGCCCCCGCATGCACTCAACAAGTACTATTATAGTTCAATAGATGGCAGTTTGCAAACTAGAGACAAAATTTCTATTTTGTTAAGACGGCCATAATAACATACTCACCGCGTTCGTATATTTAGTTTTTCTTAAAGGCTGACTGGTAGAGAAAGCTTTTAGCATTAAGTCCGCCTTGTGTACCAGTATGTACTGTGGTCAACAACGTTTAATAAATAAAAAGTTCGAATATAGCAGTATAGATAGATAGATAAATAAATGGTTTATTTAACACACACGTGCGATATACGTAAACAAAAATAAAAACTAATCAAAAAAACATTAATACAAAAAAATGAACACTATTACAATATAAGCATTAAAACAAGATATCATTTTATTTAATTTAAAAAATAAAACGAAAGGTCAAATAACAAAACGGACAAACAGAAATATGTAAACAATAAAAGCTCGCAACGCATTGCATGTGTGCGCTGTGGTGATAAAAACCATGGCCGTAGCTCAGCGTAATTGCTGCTCAACTAGAGCAACGTATACTCATATTCTGCTACGCCCGAGAATAGCAGAAAACGGTGCAACGATGCGCGGCAGTGAGTGCGTAATAGGATATATCAAAAGAATTAAATGTTTATAGAATCATATTTAATTTTATGGTTAGTACTGTTAGTTTGTGTCCGCGTAATAATAATAACTGAATAATTAGATAGGTGTGTTAGATTAATAGGAGTTACAAAAATAAATTATTGTTGGAAGGTAGCAATACCATAGACTCAAAGTGCTTTGGAATGCCAAGTTTTTGTTTGCGTAAAAGTGCCTCTTTAATGTGTTTACTAAAACAAAACTGTGTAAACTTAGTATACACAGACCTTTTTGGCGAAGGAATATTATTCCAGTACTTCGTAGCCTGGTGGCGGAAGCTACCCTCAAAAGCTACCGTGCGGTGTATATAACCTGCCAGAATAGGCATAGTTCGAGTATGTGCAGATTTTGTAAATTCTAACTTATTATACAGATACTCAGGACTTTTAAATTTCACGATGTTCAACATTAGATAGGCAAGATGAAGCTTTCTCCGAGAGTCCACCCTGAGCATTGACACATCGTTTAGAATAGTTGATATGTGACTTCGTGCAGGGACATTGAAGCAAAATCTGCAGCAACAATGTCGCCATAATTCAATTTAGATAAAACGAGCGACTCTCAAATAGCAATCCTTGCTTTCTCACTGAGCAAATCACGGATTCCGTATAAAACCTTAAGGCGATAGAAACAACTACGAACAAGGCCCAACACGTGACTCTCGAAGCGCAAAGTATTGTCTATAGTTGTTCCAAGACTCTTAGCTTCCTCCACGCGGTTAATAACCTGTCCTGAGATTACTACATTCGGCTTTAAGCTACAACCTTATCTCTTTTAGAATCTGTACCCAACACCATATATTTAGATTTACAAGGATTGAGGACTAGATTATCACAGGACCATTGGTAAATAGTGTGCAGGTCGTGATGATGAGTAAGATAGCTTCGAGAGAAGGAGAGATATTTATAGAAATCCAACAAAGCAAGCAAAGTCACACGACCAGTGTCCTGTTCAGTAAGTATACTATCCGTAACATCTAGTAATGCCGTGACTGTGTCACGCCCTCTCCGGAAACCAGATTGGCAGACAGGAAGGATGATATTAGATTCAACGTAGTCACTCAATTGAAATTATACTACCTTTTTTTTATATAATTTTTTTTTAATAATATACTACCTTTTCAAACACCTTAGAGAGAAATGAGAGGATACTTATAGGCCTAAGGTCCTTCAGGTCGCATGGGGTATCCACCTTGGGTAATGGATTAATCAACGCTGCTTTACACTGCACTGGGAATTCCCCAGTAAGCGAAGACTTATTTATTATATCTGTAATAACTCCCAAAGTGTGCGGTAGAGTGAGCAGCACCATATCCCTACTGATACCGTATCACGAATCGCATTTGATTTAATTGTGCGCAGGAAAAAAAATCTCAGCCTGAGTTACCGGCTTCAGTTGCAACTCAGAAGAGCAGAAACGGTTTGATTCAAAATAAGTCTGCTGAGTAGCTGGTACAAAGTTACGTCCTGAGACACTGAGAAAATGATTATTTATCTTATCTGGATCATTAAAATTGTCCTGCAAACCATCGCCTTTGCTGGCATCTACTAAGATTTTTTCCTTTAAAATTTTCCAAAATACTTTACTGTTATTTAAATTTTTATTAATTAAATTATTAAAATATTCTTTTCATTTTGCAAACTCATTACCCACTAAGTTTCTCAGGTCCCTGTAATACTTACTGGCTATGTGAGTCCAGCCCTGTCCGACGATACCGATCGTGAGTCTGATTGCGCAACTCCACATGAACCTAACAGTGTCAGTTGCCTAGCGCAAGGATCTATTTTGTCTAAGTAGTATTATTTTAGAAGCAGCAAATAGGTCAAATAAACCCAGGATCAAACTGTTTAAACGGCTAACCATGGAATGTACGGTAGGTTGTATTGATACAGTTTTCCAGTCGATTGAAGCAACTGCCAAGTTAAAATCTGTAAAGTTTATATTCTTCATGGGTCTATACCTGAGAAACCCAGAGGGAGGTTTTGCTTTTTTAAGCACGAGAGAAACAGTAATCATAACATGATTCCCCAGATCACCCCTAATATTATTCTCCGCGACGTCTCGCACTCGGCAGTTAGTACAGACAACATCGATCAACGAGGTAGATTTTACTGAAAACTGGGTTGGGTCCATAACTACCCGTTACATTTATTCGCGTAGAAAGCCGCATTTTTTCCGTTGTCATTCAAAATCTTTAAATACCGAACGTGAACGTCACATTTAATATAAAAACCGACGCCCCCACCGCGGCCGCCGCACATGTGCGTGAGTCGCGGGGTGCAACGCAGATGGTAGCCTAAAAATTTTATAATTGAATATTTTTCCCAGACTTAATATATTTTTTCCTTCCTCTAAGCTTAATGTAGTGACCTATCTCAATTATCTCGGCTCAAAGATTGAAAATCAAATTTGGGCTTCGTGAAGATCTGTAAAATTGTGTTGTTTATGGTAGTTACAAATTTCAAGTATATCGGTTGAGTAAATCTCAAGCGAAGCCCTTTCAATACACTCATTACAAAATATATATATTGACCTACTACATACAACTACCTAAAATGAAACAATGCAAAGAACTATGCCACGTATGTGATGACTTTAAGGGCGCGTTCCCACTATGTCGTCACGTTTTATTATCGTTGGACGACTGTCGTGTCTAGCCTGTTCCCATATCACGACTATCTGTCGTGGACGCTTTTTTATCGTTGAACGACTGTCGTGACTAGCTGTTCCCAATAGATCGTGACGACAATTTGTCCTTTCACGACAGCCTCCTTGCAAAGCGAGCAGAGGGCGCGGGGTACGAGAGGGGAGGACAGAGAGCGAATTCGTGCGGACAGCGATAAATAAAACGTGACGATAATCTGCCGTCACGTTTTTACCGTGACGTTTTGTTATCGTCTGACGAATGTCGTTCTAGCTGTTCCCACTATGACGTGAGTTTGTCGTTGTAACGATAAAAAATCGTGAACGATCATGTCGTGCTATATGTGAACAACTTCATTTAAATATACAAGCCACGACACTGTTAACTGTCCGACAATCTGTCGTCACGACAAAGCGGGAACGCGCCCTAACACGTTAATGGCCGTGATGGATTACAGTGATCGGTACCACGACACATCTAACTTTGCGACGCCCGTTCACACTGTAGGATAGGGCTAACACGACTGAGCGCGTTTTGTGCGAGTGCGACATAATTCGCGAGATACTACTATTCTTGCAAAATGTATCTCACGCTTTACGTCGCTCTCGCGCAAGTCGCGCCCTGTCGTGTTAGCCCTTCTGGTGGCAAACGCTACGTATTTATCCATATAATAAGACCGACGCGGTCCTAACGAACTTCTGTTGTCACTTGGTTTTTAGGATTGTTTAAGGCACACCTAACCACTTTTCTTTTAAAAAAATACTTTTATTTTATAAATCGAATTTAAAAGTTATAAACTAAACAAAAAAAGGGTTAATGTCAAATGTCAATCTAAAATCAATAAGGTAAATCATACACCAATTCTAAGAAGATGGAAAAAAATCACCAAAGAACGAAAAAAAAAGGAAAGAAAAAATTTATGTTTTGCGAGATGGATGAAGTGACAACGTTCACAAAGGAGTTG